ACGACATGTCGAGTTCCATGTTGACGAGTCCGAGTCCGGGTTCTGAGTGCGACGAACCGAGGGACCAACGGTTGACCAATGGCGACGCTGTTGCTAGTGAAGAAGGTACACTTTTTTTTCCTGCTGCGAGGTTTAGACACGATGATGATCCATTATTTATTATGTTAACTAATTAGTTATTTATAATTCTATCTTCTAAATTATGGAGCTGTAGGTGTAATTTTTATTTTCATCAAATTATGGGAGTGTGAGGATCCGTCATGAGCTTCACTGGGTCTCTGCACATCATCACAATAGAGGTGAACTTGCTCTACAACAAAACTCAAGGGATCGGAAAAAAGATCGTTTTTGAAAAATCGAAATACTCCACTATTCTATCAAAATTTCTTGAAAAAATATTAAGACAAATTTATTGTTTTCAACGTATGAGAAAAAGTATTGAGCGATTACAAACGCAGTACAGTAGTCTATTCAACTGTAGAGGAAAATCCTACTGTTTCCTGTTGAAGCCTATACTAAAAGGAGCTTTTGGGCCATGGATTTGATTAATTATTCTCATCAAGACTTGATTCCATTTTGAATTTGAACTGATGTTCATACTTTTTTTATATACTGTGTTCATTTTATTTCTTAACAGAAATTGTTGCTGAAGCAAGATATTTGAAGGAACATAGAGGACGTTTGGAAGCGCGAATGAAATTCCTGGAAGACCAAAACTCTTTACTTGAAATGCAAATGCACAGACTGAAGGGCGTGTTGGACCAGGTAATTGATTTGAGAGAAGTGACAGACTGTCATGTGATTACAGTACTTCACAAAGTTTGTTTTTTCTTTGTTGCTTAAAGCCGTTATTATACCCGGGCTCGAATTACCCGAATATGAGCAAATCGGGAACGCTGCAATCACGGCATGTGACAGCATCGCAATTAGCAACGGATTCCCCGCATGGAATGAATGGCACATCTGCTGGTGATACGCGAAGAATTGGTGAGTTCCCGAAAATGGATTAAATGGGATAAAAATTATGGTGGATGTATAGAAGCAAACCAAGGTTATTGGCACGGGCATAGGTAATTCCGAACCAGGAGGCAAAATTATTGCTGTAATTTTAATTTTCTGCCAAATGAAAATTTTATCTTACTGAGCCTTGTGTTTCAAGATCTTTGCTCATTGCTTAATTCTTCGAAGGAAGTTTTGACACAAATTTTGCAATTCGAAAATGTGATGTAACAAATTTCTTCTTACAATTGAAGGTTTGATGGAAGACGATTTCCGTGCTGGAGAAGTGATGGACATCCTGAGCCGCAGGCCAGACCCGCCCCCGCATTCCTCGGAGCTCGCGAATAATGGCTCCAAATCCAAAGAAGGAGGAGGAAGTGTTGAAGACCTGTTTTCTAAGTGTGGAGACGTCGGGAAGGCAGTGGAAAGTCTAGTGTCGGCCTTGAGGACCGATGACTTGGATTCGTGAACCCCGCTTCTTTATTTCCCCCCCTCCCTCCCCATGCTTCATTTAATTTTTCAATAATTCTCTAAGTATGGAGAAGATTGTGTCAAGACGGACAACTGGGAGTTTTCGGAAAGCAATTGTTTTTCACTCGGAAACATTCCTTGCTCTTGAAAGGCCAAAAGCAAACTTAGAATTTTTTTTTTTCAAAAGGATTTGCTCTGAGACTCAGAGAAAATGGAATCGAAGCAAAATTTCTTACTACTCTTCTCGTTGATGATCTAATTTTAATTTATTTAAATGGTATCTAGCGGCATTTGCTAACGCCTAAACTGCGTTCATGTTTCCGGTAGTTTGAAAGATATCCATTCCGTTCTTCCGGATCTCAAGGTTTTCTGACGCTAATCATGACTTTTCATATCCGATTGATTGTGGAAATTTTTTTTCATATCGACAAGTCCACGTTTTCACGTCATTGTGATGATGTGGACAGAAAAAGGGAAGAGAATCATGTTGAAGGATGAATTTAGAGCAATGATCGTGAGTCATAGTGACGTTTGGACATATCAAAGATTTTTTTCTTGTTAGCAAAAAAGGTACGTCCGTAAAATTTCATGCTGTATTTTGGAACACGCTCAAAGCCGAGGTTTTACGTTTTAAAAACTCCCTGGGTGGTCTCCCTCTGTTTTTTCTTGGTCTTTTTTTTTAGTCTGCCTAATATGTACTAATCAGGTTGCTTCTCTTTCTTTTTATTTTGCTTCCGGGGTTGTCGAATGATACGTTGATTGATTGAAAGAAATCATATCTCGGGACTGTTGGCATATTTCTCCTTGTGTAGGTACTACGTGTTACGTCATCAATGTGATCATTCCAGTTCGCCATTTTGTTTCTCGCTGCCCTTATTGGGGGGGATGACGTTTAAGGAGATAGTATCGGATGGTTTCAGGAAAGTTTTATTGGTTATATCGCGGGGATTTCTGGTGTATTCACGTTTCCGACGTTGATTGGATCAACAGCGGGTTTGTGAAATTTGCTGTTGTATTCCTGTCGCAAGGGAAAAAAACGTTTGTTTCGATTTTCCAGAAGTGACAATTAAAATGATAATTTCTTTGTTAGTCAACTTGTTGATTTCTACGAACTAAGAGGAAAAAGCGGCGCAGAAAAAAAACGCGATTTAATAGAACACACGCCTCAAAAATTTAAACAAGAATTACCGATCACATTCTCATCGAGCACAGCAACATTTTTTGAACAAAATATTTCAGCGATTTTGTCCGACAATTGAAAACGATTCTTGCGCGCAGATTCGACTCAGACATAATCCCTTCAAATGCTAACATGATTCTTCGTTCATCTTCGATTCAAAACAAACGCATACCGATAGAAATGTATCCCAAAAACAAAGTATTCGCCAACGCAGGTATTCAAGATCAACAAATCTAACTGCACTACCCTTCTATGAAAATTCGAGGAATTTATACCCCGATTGATTCGCGATCACTTGAAGATTGTTACAGTAGCATAATTAAAGCCTCAACAAAGCCAATCTTAAACCAAAAAAGATATTCCGATTCTTTGCCCAAAAAAAAAAATTCAGGACAGGGGAAAAACAAGTTTTTTGCTGCTTACTGCTCACGTGCTATTCATCGAAGTCCTGGAGAATAACTTCCGTCGCGTCAAAAGACCCCGAATCACCTCGATTCTTCTGGTTATTCTGGGCCACACCTTTCCTGCTCTTCCAGGGTTCATCAGCTCTGAATAAAACCGGCTGCAAAAAAAGGTCAATTTAGAGGAAGTTCACCCAGGATTTGGTAAATCTCATTCAAACAAGAAACTCACTCTGATTGCGTCGCAATCAAAAACCAGATCAGCCAACTTTTCTCTCATCTGCTTTCTGTTCAAGCCTCCGATTTCCACTTTCACCAGACATTGCGGGCACCAATCAGAATGAATAGCATCTAGAAGTTACGAACACAGCATCATTTTTATGTTTTCATCAAATCTTAGTACTGTATTACGAATTTATCTTACCGTTCAATGCACCGAACTTCAGATAGAGTGCCTGGTACGTGGAATTGTGTAACAAAGAATTATCTGTATCCAAAGCATCTTGCAAGATGTGCGCACAGTTGAGACCACATTCGTGTTGGCACTTCAGGAACATCCTGCCACATGGCTCCTCACAACGTGGGCTCTCCTGAAACACATCAAGATCAACGAAGAAATGTAAGGCGACCAATCAATCACATATACACATACAAGTCAATAAATATTTCAAGAATCAATTGATTTCATAGATATAAGACTTCTGAAAGAAATCAACCAATGTATGCAGCTATGGCAATACTTGCATCTACACAGGAGGAACTAATTCAGTTAACATACGAATGTAGTGCAATCTTAACAGCCAGCGACATCTAACCGAAATAAAATTAGTCAACATGTTGGGACAAAATCCGAAAATTCTTGGGTTGAAATGCAGGGTGTACACATTTTTCATTGAACACTGGCATACTCTACAGGTGGGCTTTCTCTACAACGAAATTCAAGGGACCTAACAAAAATTCGTTATAGGAAGAATTTTGTCGTAGAGAAGACGAACAACATGGGGGAAAAATTTTTCGGGACCAAAAAATATCCATTATATGTACAGAGAAAATTGTTGTAGATCCCTTGTAGAGACGTTTATTTGTGTATAATTTAAATTGGAAATTCTCAACAATTCTAAAAGATAGAGACTTTCGTTTTGAGTGATTTTTATTTTATTAATTCCTCTTCATTTTTTTTCCGACACGAAAATTGAAACATTACTCTGATTTTTTTTATTCGGAGTTACGCACACAGCGAAGACCTGACCTTCATGAGTTTGTGAAATGTAGTCGTACCTTCAATTATAATTTCGCCGTTTAATTATCGTTTCATAAAATTTTACTTTTTTCTTCAAAATACCAGTTTTCCTCAAAACCGGTTGACAAGCTCCGACCTTCATCTAAAAATTTGCCAGCAGTAAACGTGAACTCATCAATTAATGCCTTCGTAAAATCCCAATACTGTACGCAGGAAGTCTAGAAAAAAAAATTACCAAAGCACCACGTCCAGCAGAAGTGCTTGCGTCAAGACAGATGCAAGGAATGTTCGAACTCTCGTGTCCACACGCCAAAACGCCAGCATAAAATATTCGGCAAATCCCTGTGACATTTGTGCCACACAGATAACGCATGCTGTGAAGCCCTCTCGAGCAGAGTCGTTTGACAGGCTCAGTGCAAGACATTTCTTCGGTCATGTGGGCCCGATCATAGGCGTGGCAGATCCGGGTACACTTGTGTCCACAACTCAAGCGCTGTCCACAAAGCTGCAAATCATGAAACATTACTTCAATTTTCAATTCAGAAATTAAAAAGAAATTCAAATTATGGATATACATTAATTTAAAATAATAAATACCAATATTTCCTTTAGCAAAACGCGCACCGTTTTTTTTTTTTAATTGCTAGGAAAAAGTAGGGTGCGTATCATAGGCAGATGTATATGTGTTATTTATAAAAAAAAAAAATATATATATGGAAGTTTATGCGTTTGTTATACACAGTATTTGATTTTACGCAGAGCTGGACCTCTCCAAGTTGAATTTGAAGGGGGAAAATTGTCAAAGAACGGGGTTCGAGTTGGGATACTTGCTGTAAATTTGAGAAGTACAGAAATTTGGGCTGAAATGTTTGCTACAACTTTGTGTAGTGTGTACAAAAGCATTTCCTTAATCATTTACACCACATAAAAAAGGTTGAACACGAGAAACTACAGTATAAATGACTCTACACCACAAGATGCAGAACCTCAAGCCACGATTTTTGGACTAATTGAAGTTACTAATTTTCCTTTTCCAAAAGCATCACCATTTGAATTTCTTCTCCGTTCTTGTACTCAAAAATTTCTAGCTCAGTCCAAAAATTTGGACTAAATTCTGGAAGTTCACAGTTGAAACAATTTGAGTCAAGTAGGTTCAGGCTGAATAATTTCAAGGAAACTCTACACAGAGACTGGAAAAAATTTGAATTACGGAGGTTTTCGACTTGACAGAGGTTTGAGTTAAAGAGGTCCAACTTCATGGAAATTTTGGCACAAGTTCAACAGAAAAACGTATTGCATCGAATTCAGGTTCAATTCACGTCTAAATTCATAATTGGGTGTTCTGATCTTTGAAGTATTGCAGTTTCAGAGTCACTAAAAAGGGGTTTACGTCTTAATTCGGGATACAATTCAATCAAAATGTTTGACTGAAAAAACCCTGGTGCTTGTCTCAATTGAGTAAATACGGTAAATGCCTAAATGAGAAACGTGTGTCATCAGTATCACCTGATCACAACCGCCATGTTTCCTGAAATCTTCAGGGCTCTTCGCAAAATTAGTCCCGTCCTTATGGATCGAACAGTACAGCGGTAAAGCGGGTCCTATCGCTTCACTCTTCTCCATGGAATCCCGCACGTCTTCCCAAATTTTCGCATTTTCCGACAACATCTTCATGTTGCCAACAATGTACAATCCGTGTTTCGCACGAGACAACGCAACATTGACTCGATTCATATTCCCGAGGAAGCCGATCACATTGTCATCATTGCTTCGGACGAGTGACAACAAGATTATGTCGCATTCTTCTCCTTGAAAATTGTCGACTGTCGTGATGTAAACGTGTTTCGTCAACGGATATTGCTCTCGATGCTGAAAAAAAAATCATTTTATACAAACTCCAGCAAAAATTTGCGAATGTCATAATTGAAAACAATGATATCTCACTTCGGAGAGGTTTCGGATTTGCCTAGAATACGGCGATAAAATCGTGATTCTTCCCGAATCTATCCCTTGTTGCAGCAGATATTGGCACAGAGCAAGCAAGTATTCAGCTTCCCACTTATTCTGCATACTTTTTGTTTTGGAATCCTGCAGCAACAAAAACAAGTAAAGCGTTTTCATTCATTGTATAAATTCGAAAAAAAAAAAATGCTACCATCGCATAAAAATAAAGTCTCATGCAAATGAAATTTCGCGAAATGCCCGAAAAATCTGAAAGTCAGCACCCACCAAGGACTCCTTCATTTCGTGCGTGACGCAGAACACATTTTTGGCAATTCCCGGCACATTGGGATAGTTTTTCACAGAGGCGTGATCAAAAAGCCGGCGATAGACGTGAGGTCGGATGAGGTTCGCAATTTCGGGTCGCATTCGATGCTGCATTTCCAATTGCACAAACGGGAACTTGTTCTTCACCAGTCGCTCAAATAGTGACACGTCCATGCGATGCTCTTGAGCAAGTTTTACCACGTCTGCTTTTGGTCTCAACTGCTTGTGATCCCCTATTTAAAAAAAAAATGCATCAGCTAAAATTGAAAATAATTGTAGACAAAGGAACTTTCACCTATAAGCACCAAATGCTCGCAACTTCTCGTCAAGGATGTGATAATGCTCGACTCGAAAACCTCCGCTGCTTCTTCAACGACGACTTTCAAAAAAGAAATGAAAGGTCACACTTCAAAATTCAAGCCAAGAAGATTGACACGCGCAACAATCTGGAAAACTGACCGATTTTAAGATTCAGTCTCGACAACTTGGAAATGTCTCGCGAAGCAGCAGTCGTCGTCATGCCGATAACATCCATGGCACTCATCACATCGACGGCAAGCGAAGACCGACAATCTTCCATTTTTTGAACAGCTTTCCTGTAGTTTTCAGCCAGCTCAGCCATCGCATTCCGACGTTCTGTCAATCGCAGGCTCACCAAGTATCTACGAGTCGAATTAGAACATAGTATTCATGAATATTAAAAATTCAAAAGCGAGGTAATATTAAAATTCACCTGTACAAGAGCCACTTGTCCTTCAACCGCATGTTGTTCAGCTGAACCGCGTCAGTCGGTAATTTGATTTTCGGAGGCGGCAACTGAACCGAATCTGGGACTCGCAAAAGTTTGATCACGCTCTTCAACGTGATTATGAGTTTATCAGCATCGACAATTTCCTTCTTGAGCACGTTGATGGTTGACTCCGATTGCAACCACTCAGCTTCATACGAATCCTTCAAATGTTCGAAAGCCACCATCTTCCATCTGAGAATAGGCAAACATTTTCCGAATTCAAAGCAAATAAAGTGAAGAAACTTTTACGACACAAATCTAGATTTTGCGGTTGCTCGAATTGAAGAAAAATGTTTGCGAATCCGTCACAAATTCGAGATGCCGCGGATTTTCAAAATTACTCAAATTTTTGCGAGTAAAAACAGGGGATTCTACGTTTTCATGATAACAAAATACCCAATAAATCTTCACCTGTTACCACGAGCCGCTCGTTTCGCTTCCTCGAGATCGGCTTTCCCTGCTTTCTGCTTTTCTTGGAGATCCTGAATTTCTTCATTCGCAACGGCGATAATTTCCCTGCATCGGGTGACGCTTGTTTCGAACAATAAACTTTGAAGAAAAGCATTCTTCTTTCTTTCTTCCTTGTCGATACAATACAAAGAAATGTCTCCTTCCTCGTCGTCTTCGATGTCGTACCACTCGTCGATCTAAATCGTCAAAAATGTGTGAACGTGATCCATGAAAGAACCGAAATGAAGAAAAGAACTCACGTCTCTCTGAGCTCGTAGAACAGTGGCTTCGTACTCGACGTGGGATGCATCTTCGCCAGTGCTGGATCCAGCGCCATTTCGCGTTTCTCCGAAGTCGTCCCATTGTTTGAAATTTAGCGATTTTAGAAACTTTTCTCTGCCACTGGCTCCATACACGGCTTCAACTTGCTGGCGTTCCGCATCAAGGATTTCATTCACCAACGTTTCCGGAACTGTGAGTCCACTCTGAATACCTAGCCATTTCATGGTGCTGGTTTTACTCTTCTTTACTAGTTTTGGATCCAATATACGCAGCTTCACGATTCCCGCACCTGGGAAATTTTCACAAGAACAACGATGAAATTATTTTCAAAAACTCACAACAATTCTACTACGAATTTTAGCAACTAATGTCCAGGGTTGAAGATTCAAGTGGGGTCGCCAACATTTTATCACTTCTTCATTTTTTATTTTTTATTTAAATATTCAGGGAGTATTCAAAGCGATTGCCACTCTCAGTCAAACCTCTTCTAGGGACCAGCAAAAAAATACAGTTAGGTGCGCAAGAACTTTTATTGGGGGAGAGAGAGAAAATTACAGGAAATTGTGATGGTTGATATTCCGGACCATAAATTGCTTCTTGAATGAGTTGGCAGGATGCCAAACTTGGAGACAAGCGTTCATGCGCCCAATTAGTCTTCTACTTCCTTTCAAAACACATCAAGTTACATTTCTCGTCTCTTTCTTGTGTCAATGAAGTAATCGATAAAAAGGCATCCAGAAAATTCTATTTATGAATGTTTGAGGGGAAAGCCACTGAGACAGGGAGGTTTATAATGCATTTTTTCCAAGAAAATTCAGAAACTTGAAAAAAAAATTTAGACGTTGACGTAAGGAGGTTCGAGTTATTCATGTTCAACTAAGCCATTATTCAACAACTGCAATATCGAATCTCACTCACCCGAGGATAGAATCGTTTGGTAAATAAAATCCATCTGAATTTTTTTTTGCAACTTCTTCTTTTTCGTCATGACCTTGAGGAGCAAATTTTGCGCAGGAGTATACGGTCTAACGTTTATCGCAATTTTTCGCTGCAACAAACTCCGTGTTTGCAACCACTCCCTGATGTTGTACTTTTCCAGCAACGCACTCTTACTCCTGCCTCCAATCCTAGCAACTCGCTTCGTGAACTTTAATATACCTTCTAGAAATTGGTCGAGTGCATGATTAGTGTAGCAGATGACGAGGATCGGGCTCCTGTTGCCCCACGCTCGATTTGCAAGCATGGCCTTGACAAGTTTCAAGCCTACGTACGTTTTTCCGCATCCTGCAAAAAGGTACAGTATTTCATACAATTGAATAAATAAGCACTTCAAAAAGTGGAATATTTGCTTCACACAAAATTAAAATTTGCTTCACATAGCGGACCAGAAATGTACGGTTTGTATTATCGAAAAAAAAATCGAAAAATGCACGGTTCGTTTATAGCAACAAAAATGCCTCGTACAGTACTTCAAATGGAAGACAGAATTTTCATATTTCTGATCAAGCGATTTACGAAGAAGTAAAGATTACTCGATTAAGGGACTTTTCGGTTGCCTCGAACAATTCAGCCATTTTATAAACGTAACTTGACTCGGGTAACGGATTTTTCTGACCGTAGCCCTTCTCTCGAGACGAAAGAAGTCCATTGCCAAAGAAAAAAATAAACTACATAAAATAGAGTTGAACTAAACCCACCAGGTGGTCCTTGGATAACAGCGACTTGATTCAAAAGCCCGCACTTTAAAGCCTCCAGCTGAGAATTATCCAAGCCGAAGCCTTTGTTATCCGGCCAGTTTCCTCGGGAATCTTGTGAGAAGTCGATCGAAATATCTGGCAAAGACGAGTGCTTTGCGGGAATCGTCAAACGCTTGCTCATCGACAGAAACATTTCCAAGTATCCAGGCTTTTCGAATCCACCTTCAAATCCCAACACGCATCTGCAGGAGGAATCGCACATTTTATCCTTTTCTTACATTATGGAACACCCAATTTCATCAATAAATAACATATGAAGAGCCATGTCGGCGAAATACCACAAGAGGTCTGTTCGAGATAAAGAAAAAAAAGTCAAGATGTAATTCATTTTTCATGGCATTTTTTAATACAGTTGAACATTGATAACTAACCTTCCTAATCCGAATACAGTACTGTCTGCTGTTTTTAAAATTCCCTGTCTGAATGTTCTAAGAAACAAAGCATTCAAAACCTCACTAACTCAACGGCTTTTCCCTAAAGCCTCCATAACTCAAATTTTCTGGTGTCTTTTGGGAATTAATTTATTTTGTTGACTCAGGAAAGAGAAAATAAATTAAAAGAGTAACTTGACGTGTTTTGAAAAACGTGAAAGACTTCCTCGCAAAGTTTTAGAAATGTCATTCAAAAGCAAAATCGGTTTAATTTCCGACGCATGAAAAATACACAAAAGATATTTCTCGTCATTCATGTCGATCTAAATCACGAAAACAGATTTTTTTTTAAAGAACACATTCAATATACAGTATGTTGCCAATTCAGCAGAAAAAAAAAATCCGGTGGAGGGTTTTTCCGCGCAAGGAAAAAAAAAGCGCGTAAAAAATCCGACTCACTTGGCAATCGGATACTGGTCGAACTGCACGGTTTGTAAATTGTGCAACACGTGACGGATCGCCAAAAAGTATCCCGGACTTTCCACAGCCACCCAATCATTCGTCTTCCACATGGCCAAATTAAGCTCATCGACTCCCGGCGACTCCAACATCACCAAAATCAAGCCCTTGGCCGCCATCAAGGAATTCCGGTCGTACACCGTCACAAAATGCATAGACTTGAACCCGTCGCAGGACAAACATAACAGGGAACCCGGGGTCAAAAACTTGCTCTCCTCCCAGTAGATCCCTTTCAACTTCTCAACGTTGAACTTCATCAGCAGCCCGATCCGATTCCGCGAACACCACATAGACTGCATGGACACATCTTGGTAAATGCGACGATTCCACGCATTCTCCCCCTTGACGTGATTCTGCACAGCTTCCTTCAATGGACGCACGAAGTTTTCGCGCGTGAGCCGGAAATGCGTGTCCAGGTACTCATCACAACTCGAATACGGTTCCGTCACTTTATTCACAGGCACGGGGTAATCACAGTCTTCGAGCAGATCACTGGCCCTCGGAACTATTGTTAGCTTCCGGAAATCCGGGACACTTACATCCTTCCTCACAGACACGTCTTCATCATCATCACCAGAACTGCAGCCGACGTCTGTTGCCTTCGCAGAAATTTCCGAAATCTTGACTCGCTCCGGAGATTCCTTCAGCGAAAGCTGCTGCAGTAACTTCTCCAGGACAACGGTAGCCATTAGTAGGCAGCAGCAACTTATTAGAGTGGGGAAACACTACTTAATACGGTACATCGAAAAAACTAAGCGAAAGAAAAAATAAGGCACACGCCACCTAAACAAAAAAGATTAGAATTACATCCAAACACACGTAAAATCACGAAGAAAAAAAGAACAAATCGAGAATTTCTTGAAAACACACCTTTCTTTTTTTTTGCATAGACATCTCCAATCATAAATCGCTAAAACCTACGCAATCCTCGTTTACCGCTACGATTCTTTACCGCAAATGAGAAAAGAAAAATGGCTCAAGTAACTTTTCCGACGATCGAAATGAGCCATCTCGACGCGATTGACTTGAGTACGCTTGAAAACATCCATATCTAAAAGCATCCCGGCTGCAACAGTAACAGATGACGAGGGCGCAAAACGGCAAACGACTGATCTCTTTTTTCTTTTTCCCGGCAGAAAAAATTCGTTATTACACGTCGAATTCCTGTAGGAGTTCCAAAGGGGGATAAACACTTCATCTGGCAGAGGAATGTGAGTCACTATGTACACAAGGGGGACAGAGAGGTATTATAATGAACAGTGCTTTTTTTCGTTTTAGGCAGTAGCGATGGCATTCGGGGCCTGTTCAACACGGTTCGAAATGGCATCGATCGCTTCAGATGCAAAGTAACGCACGTCGAAGTCAGAGTCCACAAGCAGCTTTTCCAGGGATGGTTTTATCTGCATCTGCAGCACTGTTGTCTCGACGTGCGGGAAAATTTTCTGCAGAGTTTTTGCAACATTGAACCTAAAGAAAAGAATATTAATTCGACATAAGTTCGTTCAACGGATGAGCAGCTTTCTGTCAAAAGATAACTTACCTAACATTCGCAACGCTGTCGGAGGTCAAAGAGATGACAGTGGGCAGCAAAAGTTTGGAGGCAAGCTCCGTTCCACACGGTTCAGCAAGTACATTTACACAAAACAGACAAGTCATCCTGTGCAGATAATTTGCATCGCTTGCCATCTTCGCCACCTGGAATAAGTGAAATGCATTAAAAACTGCACTTCTTGCAGAGGATCTCGTAAAAAATTCAATCTTCAAAAATTTGATTTGGCAGAACAGTACAGTGTTAAAATTCGAATCACATCAGGTCAACAATACGAACGAGGAACTGAAGTACTAACCTTGGGTATTACGGTGTTTTTGGCCCAGTCTGGGCCAAACTGTTCCACTAACTTCTTCAGGTTCAAAGTGGCGGCTTCTCTGATGGCATAGACGTGATCTACGAGCCACGCCATGCAAAGATAAGCAAGCTTCTCGTTGAAAAAGTCAACTCCAAGCTGACCAGCCAAAAGTGGCATGTACTCGATTATAGCCAACCGAACACGCCACTTGCTGTCTTCGGCGAGTTCCACAATAGCGGGTAACAAACTTTGGCTTAGCTCCTGGATTCCAATAACCTCGTTTACGCAATCCAGATGAGAAATTATGTTCAATCTGACTTCTGGACACTCATCTTGCTGCAGGATAAAAATTCAATAAATCATGTTTTTCAAATACACTTGAAATGGACTTCAAATTTCGACTTGCCTTCAGCTGGGACAAATACAGAGGAAGAAGATGCTCCACTGTATGAGTCTTGCCAACAATCGGCGAAAGACCCATTATCACTGAAGCCAGTGCAGACTTCACGTGTTGATTTGGGTCAGCGACAAGGTCTTTCACACAAGGCAAAAGTTGCGTCATGATCAGGTTTTCTCTACAGTCCGCCGGCAGAAGCTGACAGAAATCTTTCACCTAGATTCAAAATGAATGACATTGTCTTCAAGGTTCTAACACCGCAACAACAAAAATTGCTAAGATTTATAGACATTGCTGAATACACACCTTGTGCGCTGCAGCAGCGCGAACCTCTGCTTCGACGTCCTTCAATAACGCACAGAAATGACCGACAAGTTCCGTTTTCGACAGCTCTTCTCCGACAGCTTCTTGAAGATCAGTGAACTTCTCAGCGACCATAAACCTAACTCTCCACGACTTGTCCTCGGCGCTGGCTTTCAATGTAGGCATAATGTATCCCGCGGTATCGTCGGGATTCCCATTTTTCGTCAGCAGTCTCGCAATTGCCACGCATCCGTCGACGGCCAAAAGACGCACTGAATCTTGTTCGTCACTCGCTAAATTTACGAACATCGGGATCAGGTCTGATTTCAAAAACTCTATTTCCACCACTTGTGCGAATTCTCCGAGCTTGCAAGCGGCCGCACGACGAACCATCGGAGTATCGTCTTGACAAAGTTGTCGGAAGTGACCTCGAAGTTCAGCCTATGTAAAATTAAAAATCAATTTTTAATCATCTTCGAATATCAACGTTGAATGACGAGTTTACCTTTAGAGATGTTGAAACTCGGGGATAGGCGACAGAGAAAAGCCCACACGCGGATGTTCGCGACGTAAACCAATCCCCAGTTGATAAACGACGAATCAAGGGGACGAACTGACTTTCCAAATCAGCCACGCTATGCTGTGCAGCGAGAAGTCTGAGAGATTCCGTCGCTTTGTCCCTCACGACAGTTTCTTCAACGGACGCCAAACTTTCCAGAGGCGGAAGCAAACAACATACGTGGTCCGGTCCTCCAACCATTGCTGTGAACTGTCCCAGTTGCTCCGCCAACGCCAATAGTACCTGAATATTAAGGGGGAAAAACATACATATTGAAAAATATCTGTTTTGGATTTGCTGTCTGCTTTCCATGTATGCTCACCTCGTCTTCATCATAGATGGTGTCCGTCAGAAAAGGGATCAGCTCCGTCCTTGTTCTGTCCGTGCCGAGAGCGAACGCAATGGTGGATAGTTTTTTGATCGAGTTGAGACGCAATTGAACATCGTCATTTCGCAATTCGTCGATCAGTACCGCAATTGGGTACAAAGAGTCTTCAGAATTAGCGTCAGCGGACATGACGTATTTTGAGAAATTCTCGTTTCAACTTCAAGGTAGCTTAAAAATAACCATAAAGAAGTGTTCACACTTTACGCGGTACCACCTGTAAAAGAAAAAAAGATTCATACATTAAGCACCAGCACAAATATATTCAATCGTTTGGTGTAAAACACGGAATTCATTCTAGGCAAATATTAAAAATCACACTCCGATTTTCAAATAACTTGTCCACATCAATTTAAGATCGAAGATCTCGCAAATCTGCATGCTCGTATCTTCGCGGGCACACATCTTTGGCGATGAATTCGAGCATGAAAGTTTCGAGTTTCCAAATTCTGCAGAAATTCAATAACTTGTAAAAACTTTTCTCGAATAATATTGCTTAAGTTAAAAAAGGAATTCACTTATAAATTACGCAGAAACTCGGGCATAAGTTGTGTCCTTCCATCAATAATGAGTTGAACGGTTCGAAAATTTTGCGACTCCGTCACTTCAAGTGTCAACTTGTCAAATGATCTTTTTTCATAATATTCGGGATCCACTGAGCACGCTTTTTTGTGTAGCCAAGATCTTGAGTGAGGATCCTCCATACAGCCGTGGCATCCATCTTGAGGGTCGCAGCCATTCTTTTTGTTTGGCAAGGATCCTCTTCGATTAGGGCCTTCACACGGGCCACATCTTGCTCATCGGTGGAAATTCTGGGACGACCTTCACGCTGGGTGTCACTGACGTCAAAATCGCCATTGTCGAATTTTCTTTTCCATCGGTGTGAAGTCGAATGATTTGGAACTTGGTCACCAAGATGTTTTTTTAATTCTCACGAAGCACTCCATTGCACTCAGACCACCCGCAAATTCGTAGAGAATGCGCAGCTGCTCTTGGCAAAACTTCACTTCAGTGTGCAGAGGGTATACAATTCGAGATCTTTTTCTAGTCTCCATCTGTAGCTGGGTGGGCCAAAAAATCACGAGAAGTTTACGAAGGACTATACAACAAAAGAAAAAAAATTCGTCCGCCTCCGATGACGGCAAGTGACGGAGTCGCAATATTCATGAACCAAACATAGTACTTCATCCAAGGCTACGGCTAGAAATGACTAAACTTCACACTACCCATCGCAGAAATTTCACAAAACAATTCTCGGGTTCCTTGGTAGATTCTACGAATTCCACATCAATTTCAACAAATTCCCAGGGCCGAAAAAATAACAATGGCCGGAAGAAAAAATATCAGCACAAATCAACATGATCCACAAAAAAAACTGTCAACCAAGAACATAATCGCATTAGAATCAGCGCAACCCAGGCTGAATGGTAAGCATCGTTTCAAGACGCGAGACGTTCATAGCTTCCATAATGCAAGAAAATCACAAGGAAGTACTCTTTAAAGACTGAAGCATCGAAAAATTGAAATAAATTTTCAAAAAAATCCATTATGAACGACCATCTCAACACTCCCGGAAATTTTCCGACTTCTATAGCGCGTTTCTTTCCTTTCAAAATATTTTTCCCCTGTGGAACCGAATAGAAAATCAACAAAATCATAAACACGTACAATCATCTCCCTGCCGAAGGAAATACAAAGAATAAAAAAAAACGAAGATTTTCAGTTGAAAGTAATGACGAACAAGAAACTTCGCAAGCGGAACATCTTTTTCTTTCCGGCATCGACCTCTTCAAGCAAACTTAATAAACTTACGCAATTTATTTCCTGTTGACCGTATTCATGCCGTTCATGTCAATGGAAATGAACGACCATTCGCAAAACGGAGTACGGATTTGATTACAGCGTCGTCATCATTGCAAGCATTGAACCAGAATATAATTCCAGCTGACACTGACGAAGCGTTCAGTAAAAAATAAAGTGTTTTTTTCGGCTATCCCAGATGGTTCGCGTTGTTATTCATTTCGTTAAAATATACCTACATAATTTCAAATGATTTGTCATCCAAAAGAAAAAATTCATCACGGGAACGATACATCAGAGTTGAAGATGATCTCAGGAGGGTTTCCAACGAAAACATTGCTCTTCTTGTTTCACATTACCGAGAACATACAACACTTCAATGAGAAGAGACTAACGAATACGACAATTCCAGGAAACTTCTCAATTGACATCAATAACTTACGTTTCAAAAAAAGCTAAGGGTTCGGGAGAAACAAGACCGTACGTTCACCAAAGGAATGTGAACGAGTATTTACAAAAGAATCCCACACTCATCGCTGCGAAGACATTGTATCAGGCTGTCACAATTGCAAGCGGAGCTTGTTCAACTTTGCTCGAAATCGCATCCATCGCTTCCGAGGCAAAGNACAAATATATTCAATCGTTTGGTGTAAAACACGGAATTCATTCTAGGCAAATATTAAAAATCACACTCCGATTTTCAAATAACTTGTCCACATCAATTTAAGATCGAAGATCTCGCAAATCTGCATGCTCGTATCTTCGCGGGCACACATCTTTGGCGATGAATTCGAGAATGAAAGTTTCGAGTTTCCAAATTCTGCAGAAATTCAATAGCTTGTAAAAACTTTTCTCGAATAATATTGCTTAAGTTAAAAAAGGAATTCACTTATAAATTACGCAGAAACTCGGGCATAAGTTGTGTCCTTCCATCAATAATGAGTTGAACGGTTCGAAAATTTTGCGACTCTGTCACTTCAAGTGTCAACTTGTCAAATGATCTTTTTTCATAATATTCGGGATCCACTGAGCACGCTTTTTTGTGTAGCCAAGATCTTGAGTGAGGATCCTCCATACAGCCGTGGCATCCATCTTGAGGGTCGCAGCCATTCTTTTTGCTTGGCAAGGATCCTCTTCGATTAGGGCCTTCACACGGGCCACATCTTGCTCATCGGTGGAAATTCTGGGACGACCTTCACGCTGGGTGTCACTGACGTCAAAACCGCCATTGTCGAATTTTCTTTTCCATCGGGGCAAAGTGGAATGATTTGGAGCTTGGTCACCAAGATGTTTTTTCATTCTCACGAAGCACTCCATTGCACTCAGACCACCCGCAAATTCGTAGAGAGTGCGCAGCTGCTCTTGGCTAAACTTCACTTCAGTGTGTAGAGGGTATACAATTCGAGATCTTTTTCTAGTCTCCATCTGTAGCTGGGTGGGCCAAAAAATCACGAGAAGTTTACGAAGGACTATACAACATAAGAAAAAAAAATTCGTCCGCCTCCGATGACGGCAAGTGACGGAGTCGCAAAATTCATGAACCAAACATAGTACTTCATCCAAGGCTACGGCTAGAAATGACTAAACTTCACACTACCCATCGCAGAAATTTCACAAAGCAATTCTTGGGTTCCTTGGTGGATTCTACGAATTCCACATCAATTTCAGCAAATTCTCAGGGCCGAAAAAATAACAATGGCCGGAAAAAAAATATCAGCACAAATCAACATGATCCACAAAAAAAAACTGTCAACCAAGAACATAATCGCATTAGAACCAGCGCAACCCAGGCTGAATGGTAAGCATCATTTCAAGACGCGAGACGCTCAATAGCTTCCATAATGCAAGAAAATCACAAGAAAGTATTCTTCAAAAACTGCAGCATCGAAAAATTGAAATAAATTTTCAAAAAAATCCATTATGAACGACCATCTCAACACTCCCGGAAATTTTCCGACTTCTATAGCGCGTTTCTTTCCTCTCAAAATATTTTTCCCCTGTGGAACCAAAAAGAAAATCAACAAAATCATAAACACGTACAATCATCTCCCTGCCGAAGGAAATACAAGGAATCAAAAAAACGAAGATTTTCAGTTGAAAGTAATGACGAACAAGAAACTTCGCAAGCGGACCATCTTTTTCTTTCCGGCATCGACCTCTTCAAGCAAACTTAATAAACTTACGCAATTTATTTCCTGTTGACCGTATTCATGCCTTTCATGTCAATGGAAATGAACGACCATTCGCAAAACGGAGTACGGATTTGATTACAGCGACGTCATCATTGCAAGCATTGAACCAGAATATAATTCCAGCTGACACTTACGAAGCGTTCAGTAAAAAATAAAGTGTTTTTTTTTCGGCTATCCCAGATGGTTCGCGTTGTTATTCCTTTTGTTAAAATAGACCTACATAATTACAAATGACTTGTCATCCAAAAGAAAAAAATTCATCACGGGAACGATACATAAGAGTTGAAGATGATCTCAGGAGGGTTTCCAACGAAAACATTGCTCTTCTTGTTTCACATTACCGAGAACATACAACACTTCAATGAGAAGAGACTAACGAATACGACAATTCCAGGAAACTTCTCAATTGACATCAATAACTTACGTTTCAAAAAAAGCTAAGGGTTCGGGAGAAACAAGACCTTACGTTCACCAAAGGAATGTGAACGAGTATTTACAAAAGAATCCCACACTCATCGCTGCGAAGACATTGTATCAGGCTGTCACAATTGCAAGCGGAGCTTGTTCAACTTTGCTCGAAATCGCATCCATCGCTTCCGAGGCAAAGAAACGCACGTCAAAATCGGAGTCTCCCAAAAGCGTTTCCAGAGACGGTTTAATCTGCACCTGCAGTACAGATGTTTCCACATGAGGAAATATTGTTTGAAGCGTTTTCGCCACGTTGAACCTGCAAATACAATCAGAGTTACGTTGAAGTATAAAATTTCTCGGCGAAATTGTCAGGAATTTCGTCAAAAATAAGAGTAATACAGTATCCATAAATTAATTCCTGAACAAAAAAAAACATTATCTTACCGAACATTCGCAACATTATCCGACGTCAGTGAGACGACAGTAGGAAGCAGGAGTTCGGAAGCCAGATCAGTTCCACACGGCTCGGCAATCACATTCACACAAAACAAACACGTCATCCTGTGCAGATAATTGGCGTCGCTGGCCATCTGAGACACCTAAGAAAAATAAAATCACATCAGACGCAGATAAAAATTTTTTGCATTAGGATTTCCGAAGCAAACCATTTTATAAATGACAGCAAGAGTAAAAGTAAAGTATAAAGTACCTTCATCATAACATTGCGACACTCTTACCTTCGGTATCACGGTGTTTTTGGCCCAGTCTGGGCCAAACTGTTCCACTAACTTCTTCAGGTTCAATGTTGCAGCTTCTCTGATGGCATAGACGTGATCTACGAGCCACGCCATGCAAAGATGAGCAAGCTTCTCGTTGAAAAAGTCAACTCCAAGCTGACCAGCCAAAAGTGGCATGTACTCGATTATAGCCAACCGAATGCTTCTCTGATGGCATAGACGTGATCTACGAGCCACGCCATGCAAAGATAAGCAAGCTTCTCGTTGAAAAAGTCAACTCCAAGCTGACCAGCCAAAAGTGGCATGTACTCGATTATAGCCAACCGAACACGCCACTTGCTGTCTTCAGCGAGTTCCACAATAGCGGGTAACAAACTTTGGCTTAGCTCCTGGATTCCAATAACCTCGTTTACGCAATCCAGATGAGAAATTATGTTCAATCTGACTTCTGGACACTCATCTTGCTGCAGAATAAAAATTCAATAAATCATGTTTTTCAAATACACTTGAAATGCATTCAAAATTTAGGATTTACCTTCAGCTGGGACAAATACAGAGGAAGTAGATGCTCCACCGTATGATTTTTGCCAACAATAGGCGAGAGACCCATGATCACAGAAGCCAGAGCTGACTTAACGTGCTGATTCGGGTCAGCAACCAAGTCTTTCACACATGGCAGAAGTTCAGTCATAATCAGGTTTTCTCTACAGTCCACGGGCAAAAGCTGACAAAAGTCCTTAACCTGTCCCAAAAAAATGTGATGTTGATTTTTAAATGTCAATTTTAACAAGCGTGAGTTTGTACAATACAGCACTGCCTCCTTTCCACTTGAGATGTTTTCGCCAATCGAGGTACATCAAAAATTTGCTCCGCATCAACAAAATCCCTATACGAATCGTATGTATCGAAGACAATCGGCTCATAAAACGTAATGTCAGGTTGATCCTTTCTTCAAAATTGAATAGTAATATGTGTGTCTGTTAGTCCAACTAGAAAAAATCAGTCCTTAATAATGCTAGCCATATGTTGGAAAAAACTTTAAAAAATGGACGAATCAGAAAGCAAACCTTGTGCGCTGCAGCAGCGCGAACCTCTGCTTCGACGTCCTTCAATAACGCACAGAAATGACCGACAAGTTCCGTTTTCGACAGCTCTTCTCCGACAGCTTCTTGAAGATCAGTGAACTTCTCAGCGACCATAAACCGAACTCTCCACGACTTGTCCTCGGCGCTGGCTTTCAATGTAGGCATAATGTATTCCGCGGTATCGTCGGGATTCCCATTTTTCGTCAGCAGTCTCGCGATTGCCACGCATCCGTCGACGGCCAAAAGACGCACTGAATCTTGTTCGTCGCTCGCTAAATTCACGAACATCGGGATCAGGTCGGACTTCAAAAACTCTATTTCTATCGCTTGTGCGAATTCTCCGAGCTTGCAAGCGGCCCCACGTCGAACCATCGGAGTATCGTCTTGACAAAGTTGTCGGAATTGACCTCGAAGTTCAGCCTATGTAAAATTAAAAATCAATTTTTCATCATCTTCGAATATCAACGTTGAATGACGAGTTTACCTTTATAGATGTTGAAACTCGGGGATAGGCGACAGAGAAAAGCCCACACGCGGATGTTCGCGACGTGAACCAATCTCCAGCAGATAACCGACGAATTAACGGAACAAACTGATTTTCCAGATCAGCTATGCTATGCTGTGCAGCGAGAAGTCTGAGAGATTCCGTCGCTTTGTCCCTTACGACAGTTTCTTCCACGGACGCCAAACTTTCCAGAGGCGGCAACAAACAGCACACATGGTCAGGTCCACCAACCATGGCGGTGAACTGTCCCAGTTGTTCCGCCAGCGCAAGTAACACCTATCGATAGAGAAACAACACACTATTAATTTGTAAAAATTTTTGACAATTCAATTATTGTACCTCATCTTCATCGTAGATCGTTTCAGTCAGAAACGGAATCAGTTCGGTCCTTGTCCTGTCGGTACCGAGAGCAAATGCAATCGTTGACAGTTTCTTGATCGACTTAAGACGAAGCTGAACTTCATCATTACGCAATTCGTCGATCAGTACCGCGATTGGGTACAAAGAGTCTTCCGAATTCGTGTTCGTATCAGTAGACATAGCAATTCAAGAGAAGCTCTCCTCTTAAGGTTCACAAAAGGAGGAAATCACCATAAATTGGACAATGAACGCGAACACCTGGAACAAGGATTAAATACTGTACATCAAGTGAAAATTACAGAATAAAACTGTGAAGATGGAAGAAATATGCAACAAATGGAAATGTATCTCTTGGCAAAAGTGTCAAAATCTTCCAGATGGAAAAAATAACAGCAGCGTTTGCATCCATTCTGCTGATCACTTTTTTTTAGAATTCCTACAGCGATTAAAAAAATTGAAAAGCTGTGCGATACCTAGAAGCAAATTTGTGAACATCTTTCTGAGCAAGAATAATGAAAACCGAATTATCTTTTGTTCTTCAGGCCAGTCCATAACTTACTAGCACTAGAAACTTTGGAGCATCGCTACAATGCAACTTAAAAAGCTCCACTAAGACAACAAACGAACAAAAAACGATACCGAAAAGCATCCAGAAATATTTTAGTAGATCTTTTTTTTTTAACTTCAATTACGAGTTTTGGAAGATTTTTCAGGAAATTTCTGTGACGTAATATTTATAAAAATAAGTACAGGCTCGTTTTTCTTCACGAAGACGTGATGGATGCAACTGTCGATGAGATCTTTGGTTTCAGGGCGTACTACCCGATGCCCAATATACCAGAATCTAGTGCTGTGTCGGCTCAAGACCAGTTTCGACATATAATCAAGAGGTTCGATCGTCATTTGATTCAACTCGATACTATCACACGGTTTTCCGTTGTTCGTGTGACTTTTGCCAGAAAACGAACGAAATCCCCGCATTGCCCCAACTCGTTTTCAAGGGAATATCGCACAGATTTCGTTTGTCTGCGCAGTGGTGCCAATCAACCAAGTCCCAAGTGCAATCGGCGTTTTCTGGAGGCGGCGTGTATTCAATGCCGTTTACACATCTTGAGCACTTGAATCTGAAACATTATTAAATGTTAGAACACCGACGCAATCAACTCATGATAAACGCAAAAAAAGTATTTAAAGCTCAAACACTTGACCAAAATTCAAGAATTATTACCGATCATGAGTAGAGCTTTTGGTTCCTTCCTCAAGCAAGAACAACTCTCTCAGTTCAGCGATTGAGAAATGTCGCTCAACATCTTCTTCCTGGTCCACAACGCAACTACTCAACGCCTTCTTGTGCCTCTGGCGCTGAAAGATCTTCTCTTCGATGGATCCAGTCTACAGTAGAAATGATTCACGTTTTTCACGTATTTTCCAACTTCAGGAAAGATTTTAAATTCTTACAGCAAGAAGCCGGTAAATGAAACAGTTCTTCTTCTGCCCATCACGCCAAACACGAGCCATCGCCTGATCGTCATTGGCAGGATTCCAATCCGGATCAAACATGACCAGTCTATTGGCTCCAATTAAATTAAGACCGCATCCTCCTGCTTTACTGCTCAGCATAAAGATCCATTCAGAGGTTGATGGGTCATTGAATTGATCCACCACCTGTTGAACGTTAATAATTTTAAAAATTGTACGTGGATTTTTTATAAATAATACATACCTTCGCTCTTTTTTTGATCGTCATTGAACCATCCAATCTTACGCAGGCATAATTCCGCACTCTACACAATTTCTCGAAGAGATCCAAAGTTTGCGTGTAGTTTGACACCAAGACTACCTTGTCATTAGAGGTAGATTTAATCACAGCAAGTAGGGTGTCCAAAACACGCATCTTCCCGGATATGACGGTATCCAGAGCTCGTCTGAAAACATAAACAACTCAGAATCAGACCTTTCCTTCTTCTTCGGTATCTTTATTTCGTTGATATGCTTACTGAGCACTTTTTGCGTTGGGAAAATACTGCATAGCGTTTTCTAAACCAGGTGCACCTTCTAAAACCTTATCCAAAATCAAGTCTGGGTGGTTGCAAAGCTTCTTCAGCGTAGTGATGGCAGAAAGCGTCGAAACCCCACTCCCACCAGCCTTTGCTTTGGACTTTTTATCGTCATCGTCGCTCAGAATTTGACGCTTCACAGCATTAGATGCGACGAAAGACTTGTAAATGGCTTCTTGAACACTCGTTAATGGACACAGAACCACCTGCAAAGAAATAAATTCAGCTTCATACAAGTAATTCGAAGAAGATAATGATGATTCAAGACTAACCAATTCGATCTTTGGGGGTAGATATTTCGAAAGAATTCCCGCAGTTCGTCGAATGATGCAACGGTTGACCAACTTGGCCATTTCTTCCAATCTCTCCTTGCCCTTTTGATGCTCGTCGGCCGTTGCCATCGAATCCCGACCTTTCAGAATAGGAAGTTCGTATTGCTTGCGGAATTCGCTCGAGCTTCCCAGGAGACCTTCGTTCACGAAATGCACCAAACTAAGAGAAAAATGTGAGGTTAGCTGAGAAACTAGAAACGGAACCTCAAGTAGATTATCCACCTGAAATACTCCAAGAGATCGTTCTGAATCGGCGTCCCGGACAACAGCACTCTTCTCTTGGCTTTCAGGGAATTTAAGGCTTGATACGTTTGATTTTCGCAATTCTTCAAACGATGACCCTTCATAGAAAAACTTCATGCGTCAGCAAAACAAATACAGTGATTTTTTTTAGATCATACAACTCACCTCGTCACATATGATTAACCCTACATCTCCTTTCTGAAGAGGGGCAGCGTGCAAACGTAAAGTTTCGTAAGATATTATCAAAATTGGATTCACTGGTCGTCGTCCATACGTGTTCATAAAGCGCTCCAAATTCTGGTCGATTTCGCTCTTCGACCCTGAGTCTATCACCAGCGGCGACACTCGGCCCTTCAGCCATTTCACAATCTCATTTGCCCAATTCTAAAAAAAAATGAGACCTGAATTTATATTTCAAATTTCACCTCATAATCCACAACTTATGCATAATTCATCATAAATGAGCTGGATATTCACTTCACACTTGAGCTATGCTCATTTCACTACAAAAGGGAAAATTGAAACTTGACATTACCTTGACAAGACTCGACGGCGTAACGATGATGGCTTTGTCAATTTCCGGCTTCGCATCCGGACTCTGTCGCAAGAGAGTCCAACACAACGTAATGCACTGCAAGGTCTTGCCCAAACCCATTTCATCTGCCATGATGCAGCCAAAGGCGTTTTCTATCTGACGTCCCGTGACGCAATCCCACATGAATTTCACGCCCTCACGCTGATGAGGACGCAATACCTTGTACAACATCGGGTCAACAACAACATGAACAGGAACCTTCGATCTGAAGAAAAAAATTACCATTTCATAAAAATCGATTTTTGTTGATTCAAGATCACTTGAACTCACAGATCGGTCTTCAAACGCTGCTCTTCACTCAGAATCGGAGGAAAGTATAAGACCAAGGCCTCTGGTTCTTCGGGGTCATGCAATGCTTGGCGCATGCCCGACTTACATAAACCCAATGATCGCCCATACAGAGATCCAGAGTAGTTGTCAATCGGAACACGGAATGGCTTCGAAAGCATGGATTTGATGAAATCTTCCTGTAAAATGAAAATAAATGCCATATCGTGATAGGTAGTTTCTCCACCCTTACGTCTAGAGCGGAGCTTTCCTTCAAAGCAGTCAAATGTATAATTTTAAAAAATTACGATGTTTGAGAAGATAAAGATGTACTAACGTGTGCAGTGGCATTTTGTTGAACACCTCGAGCAGCTTCCGGATCGAATACAGGCGCTTTCGGCGAACAAGCAAACGGAGATTCGTGAGATATCACGTTGTGTCGACGAACGCACAATCCCGAACCAATACTCTTAGGGGTACCACTCAGAAGTGGAGATTTGAAACTAGCATTGAGATTCGGCCGGGGAGAACTGAAGCACTTCGGAGATGATGAAACGGCGATATTCACCCTCTTCGGCGTCAGTACAGATTCAGCCTTATCGCACTCAAATTCTCCGGGCCGTTTCTGGCTCGGACAAAAGCTCCTCCGCATTGCTAAGCAAGTTGCTAACGACCGCCACAAAAAATATAATAATAAAGAAAAGCGCAACTTTCACGGGAAACTTCGAATCACGAACGCATGGTGGTTTCTGAAGCACACAATTCACTTCAGCTAGAAAGAGAAGAAGAAATATTGTCAAGACATTCATAAATTGGCCAAATGGCAAAAATCCATCGCAAACTTTAGCTCAGCAGACAGTTTATTAGCCGGATTATTTGATCTTTCATCGTAAGATGCACAGGGGCTTCAAGACAAGCGCGTTAACCTTGAGGTCCTCCCATCGGAGCACCGCCACCAGGGGCACCACCTCCGCCAGTTCCATCGCCTTGTTGCTTCTTGGAACCAGAAACGATGTCGTCGATGCGAAGGAGCAGAATGGCTGTCTCAACAGCTGTTTTCATCACCTGAAGCTTGACGGCCAAGGGGTCCCAAATTTTCAACTGTTCCATATCTGCTACTTCGCCCGTTTCACCATTCACTCCGTGATTTTTTTGGCCAGCTGTGCAGAAAATTGACGATTATTTTACAGAAAATGTACGCCATCAACTTCGTATAAACGTTAGATGAGTTGAAAGGATGACAAAGACTCACCAGCATGACAGGCCCGAAGATTCGTGAGCACACGGATGGAATCCTGGCCACAGTTATCGGACAAGGTCTTCGGAATGACTTCTAGCGCGGTTCCCACAACCTTGTAAGGCCAAGCTTCGACTCCCTTAACATTCACACTTCTTTCCACAATGGCCTAAAAAATTTGAAGAAGGGTTGATTTCACACCCGACTCAATAATGGTAAGTTCAAATATAAACCGCAGCAATAAACCTTATTATTACAGTTGCACATGTGTGAAAAACGTCAGGCTTGTCATACATTTTCAAGCTCTCACGCATCACTGGGTTATTTTAACGCCTCCTGATAACCTCGAAACTTTCTATGCACTTAATTAGGATCTTCATCCGAATGCTACTCCAGTCTTATTCAATTTTTTCAAGAGGAATGTGTAGTTCTTGGCATCTTTCCGTCTGCTAAGCTGTTCTATTTTCACGGAACTTAAAATATTATCCTCTTTCGCCACTGTGTGGGCTTAAAAAGACAGACGAAAATACAATTTGACCCCAATCTCTTTCCATAATCCTTAATGCGAGCACTCTGAAACCCATATGTCTCTATCAATTGAATCATACGAAGTTATTACCTTGGATAGTCTCATCTCCGTGGCTCCACCGCCTGGAACAATTCTGGGATCCAACATGATATTTCGGGCAACGAACATGGCGTCTTGCAGGTTCCGTTCCACTTCTTTAAGAACATCTTTCGACGCTCCACGCAGAACAATGGTGCACGCTTTCGCGTCGTCAGATCGAACTGATGTCCAGTACTCATCGCCGATCTGTAAAATAAGAACCAAGTAAGAGTAAAAGTCAAGAAAATCACGTTCTTTATTTATTTTTTAAATTGTCGAGGAAGTTAGCTTACCTTTGTCACTTCGAACAGCGTAGCACGAGTGCCAATATCTTCTTCTTTTAGTTCGTCTGTTCGGAAAACGACAGTGGCTCCAGTCGCTCTGGCAAGGCGGTTATTATCGGTTTTCTTGATTCGACGAACCACTGAGATATTAGCCTGGAATATTACAACATTTTGTATCATACTCTTGTAGACAACTCATCCCCGACAGTGGATAGAACAACAAGCAGTAAAATGGGACGACGACGGGGAATTTCATTACGTAGCCCTAAAATTAAGACCACAGTCCAGTACACAATTCAAAATACATTCACCTCACCTTTCCAAGATAATGCTGCGCTAAATCAGAAACACCCTTTTCTGTGAAGACGAGATCGGGCTTCATCCGGATTATATCTTCACAAATTTTCTGGATATACTCTTCTTCAATTTCGAGGTAGCGGGCGAAGTCGCTCTGGTTGCTGATCTCGATGTTGGTCTGGACAGAAAAGATAGTTATAAAGTTCACAATTCGGAAAGAAATCGCAATGCATAAATAAAGTACAGGGGATAAAACATACCACACTTTCTCCCTTCTTGTACTCGAGATTGCAATCAAGCAGCATTATCCGCGGATTTTCGATTCTTCGTCGCATTTTGCTCGGGAAAGTTACGTCTTTGTTGAACATGGTGCCAGGAATTAGATACGAGTCTTCCATGCTGCCGCCGGGAATTTTTTCGATTTTGATAAAATTCTTGATATCGACTTCAGTTGTTCCGCCCGGGGTTTTCTGAGTAATCATCTTAACAGCATCCATAGCCATTTTACATGCCATTCGTGACCACCTCGACGTTATCTTGGTTCCGATGCACGATGCTACCACGTTGAGAATCTGCTCTTCGTCATCCAAATTGAGGGGGATGCTGGATTTCAAGAAAAAATTACGCAATGTAATAAAAGATTTATTGAGGTTCATTGAACCAAGAATGACATACCTCACTTCGTCCTTCATTATATCGATGATGTCTTCCAATGCTTGACGGAATCCACGAATGATCACCGTAGGATGAATACCATCATCCAAAAGAGGTGCACAAACACTGAGAATCTCTCCTGCCAGAACAATGACGGACGTGGTACCGTCGCCAACTTCTTCATCTTGGGTACGAGCGATCTCAATCATAGATTTCGCGGCGGGATGTTGAACGGTAATTTCCCGGAGGATTGCATTCCCGTCATTCGTCATCACGATTCCTCCCATGGGATCCATGAGCATCTTCAGCATAGCTCGCGGGCCCAGGCAAGTACGAATAACATCCGCGATCATCTTCAACAAAAGACGTGCTACTTCTAACCAACTCTTGCATAACAAAAGCTTCAATTGTTAACCTTACCTTGCCAGCATTGATGTTGCCCTTCTGAACTTGCTTTCCACTTTCTCGCTTCGTGTTTTGACCTAAAACATAGACACGTATACTCCAAAAATGTCATTCTGCGAAGTGAGAGCTAGATCTTCGTCCCTCAAAATACAGCCACAAAAATTCGAGAACAATTCAAATTGTACTCACTCAGCACTATAATGGGCGCAGCCCCTTGTCCACCTCCCATCATCATCTTGAAATATTTGTGAAGCTCGCGATGAATTAAGTCACTATTTCAACGTAAGTATTTTCGACCGCGTAACCCTGCAACAAACGAAATCTGTTTCACACTCTCTCCCGAAGTAAGCCGAAGGGGTTCGGATACAAGTCACTGTGGTTCATGCCCGCCGTCATGTTGGTTTCGGTTTCTCGTAGATCAACTAGCAATGACCACACAGAGCTTTCATTCTGTTCTGGTCCCAGCTCTTCGCTTCAATGAAAATTTTGAAAAATTAAATTTAGCGAGTATTCGCTAGTATACACGTGGATTAATCCTGGAAGTTCTTGGAAAGGTATTTTATAGATCTATCATGTTATCAGAAGAAAAATTCCGCCCTGATTACAAATTGTGGCATGCGAATTAAGAAATTTGTCATGATTCATAACCATTACAGGAATTGCACGATCCCAGCAGCAGCCCTGCAGGTGAAGATGATTCCATCTGCATATTCAGGTAGACTCTCTCTACAACAAAGTTCAATAAACCAAAAAAAAATTTTTATAGAGACATTCATTTTAGACAACCTGTATAACAAGGGAAACAATTATAACATTTATGGGATAACAAAAAAATGTATACGGTACTGATGAAATCATTTTGAACAAAATCGTTGTAGATATTCTCCTCTGCAATTTTTTTTTTCAAAAATACACTTCTGAAAAAAACTCTTCTCATACAAAGTCTATCCGATGAATAGATTATCTGCAGTTATAGATGACTAGCAAACAATAGTTTCTTTTTTTCTGAGGGGAAATGCTCTTACGTATGAATTAAACTCAGTACTGTGAATTATATTTTACATCTGCAAAGTGTGATGAGTGCTTGACGTCCTGTGTATGTGAAAATGACAATGTTTAGCTGAGTATCATAAGAAAAAACAAATTTAGTTCGTCCCGGACGCAGCAGCTAGCGGCTGAACGCAGCCACAGCAGAGACCCAACCCACGTGAGTTGGTACATAAGAATAGATCGTCAATGCTGACGACGCCGAGTACGCATGGACAATTGTTGGGAACTCTGACACAAAGTGCCCATGCACCGGATGCATCATCAGTCTCAGTGGAATCCCCGTACGTGAACCTAGGTAATCAGCAGCGCACATTCCTTTCCTGTGTATGCATGCAAGCACGTCATTTCATAATAGTTTCCCCTGTGGAATGTGCTGGCTCCATCCAAGCATTCCCTTGATTTTTCAGAAACCATTTTCCCGGGCAACCTTCGCGCCAGTTATTTGAGAGATAAGATTAGTTCTCATAGCTCCGGCGTAGCTTTCACACGAAGAAAAACACGTTTTCAGTCTGCTTTCATCATAGCTTTTGTTCTGAGTGGAACTCTGCAGGCTCAAATGCTTTTTTGCCATGTGATGCAATGCGTCATCAGACTGACTGGCATCAACTATATGCCCAGCCATCAAATAAACCCGTGCGGGTGCATCGCCAGAGTGATTCAACATCAGCCACATGTGTCGCTCCACCGTTTCTGCGTGTATCTGTCACCCAGATTCAAAATGCAAATGTGTTCCGTGAAAAGTCCGTTCTGCATTTATTGTGCCGTGTAAATACCTCTTACAAGTGTTCTTTATATGCCCCGCCAAATGCCACACAACAGTGCGATTTTTATTGGAAGTGTGCCGTATTTGTAAAGTCACGTACGTGTTTTATATTCCCTCCACCGCTAAAGCGACGGATCGCGAATACTCGGAGGGACGACGTACGAATCAGCTCCGATTGTGTATTGTTCCACGGTGAACCTGAACGGGGCCTGGGACATAAGAAAAGTACTGTAAATGTTCTTACACAGTATATCTTCTATCATTAGATCATGAAAATATGCTTCCAATTTGTTTTTCGATTGACCGATTGCTGTTACACATTCTTGGCTTATTAACCAGCGTGGACGAGTTCGTACAGTTGAACTTCGATAACTTGAACCTCCATAAGTTCAATACCTAGGTTCTATGAGTCGAATTTGTTTCAAATTTTCGTCTGAGTTGCCTTAGATATAATGCACCAGCCTATCGATCTAACTCGAAAGCTTTTCCTCTCAATCTGGCTTCCTTAACTCTATTTTCAAGGGCCTTTAGGCTATTACTTTTTTGACCCAGGAAATAGAAGAGCAATTAAATATAAGTAAAGTTTCGAAAGGAAGTGAAATACCATACTTGTGCAAACGAACCCTTGCCTCCAAGTTCAGAATCTCCTGTCAACTCGCTTAAGAAGCAATTTAACGTACAGAATATCCCAAATTACAATTTCCTGCAATTCTTCTATCTTTACCCCATCACGCCAATAATGCTTCTCTATTTCAAACCTTCCCTCACTTGCAATTTTTTGTTTGCTGGTGCTTGAAATCCAAATTATAGAGGTTCGACCGTAATATCACATTTTTATACTCTACCACGTATTTACATAATTTGAAACAGGGTTAGCTTTTCCTTATATATTGCCGCCGCATTTCAATCATGCATCCATTTGTTTCTAGTTCTCTTCATTTTTGATATTTTGACCCTAAAAAGCCTCATGAACACCATACAATANCATAAGTTCAATACCTAGGTTCTATGAGTCGAATTTGTTTCAAATTTTCGTCTGAGTTGCCTTAGATATAATGCACCAGCCTATCGATCTAACTCGAAAGCTTTTCCTCTCAATCTGGCTTCCTTAACTCTATTTTCAAGGGCCTTTAGGCTATTACTTTTTTGACCCAGGAAATAGAAGAGCAATTAAATATAAGTAAAGTTTCGAAAGGAAGTGAAATACCATACTTGTGCAAACGAACCCTTGCCTCCAAGTTCAGAATCTCCTGTCAACTCGCTTAAGAAGCAATTTAACGTACAGAATATCCCAAATTACAATTTCCTGCAATTCTTCTATCTTTACCCCATCACGCCAATAATGCTTCTCTATTTCAAACCTTCCCTCACTTGCAATTTTTTGTTTGCTGGTGCTTGAAATCCAAATTATAGAGGTTCGACCGTAATATCACATTTTTATACTCTACCACGTATTTACATAATTTGAAACAGGGTTAGCTTTTCCTTATATATTGCCGCCGCATTTCAATCATGCATCCATTTGTTTCTAGTTCTCTTCATTTTTGATATTTTGACCCTAAAAAGCCTCATGAACACCATACAATAATATTTGGACTGCTATTGACAGAGGATTTGACTCAATACAATGACCGATTGCGAACATTCTACGAGAAGCAGTGGCCTCCGGGGCTCAGCCAGAAGCCAGAACAACTCGCAGAAGCTGGTTTTTATTACGAAGGTAAAGTCCTTGCCAAATTTTCAAAATATCCGTTCTGTAATGATCATTTTATTCGTTTTACCCCAGGAGAATTCGACCGAGTCTATTGCTTCAGCTGTGAAGTTGAAATTTGGGCTTGGGAACCGGAAGATAGTCCTTGGGAAGAGCACTTGAAAAAATCTGAAAACTGTGAATTTGTTCGGGAAAAGTGGAGGAAAGCTAGTGATCAGCAAGAAGTCTAAGTCAGATATTTTGCTTTATAGTCTTCATCACAAAAGGGAGACTTATTTGAAACAATCGCGCACTTGGATTAAAATAGTATTCCAAGATTGACACGAGGTCTTATTCTTGTTTGCTAATTTTGTTACGTATGAGCTTATATACATATATGACGGGAAGTGAATGAACATTGATGTGATTGGCTGAACGCCATATTTTCTTTGGTTTTTTTTTCCACACTGTATTATTTGATTTCTTCATTTTTCAAAGGCATTTTTCGTGTGTTAATGGCAGCGGTTGGAGGAATTTGAGACGCGGACTTCGTCGGTTCCACTAGTCAGATCCGGTGTCGACGTGGAATCAGCAGCAGCAACACCCGTTTCCGGTTCCGCTTGATTCAGACTCTTCGTAAACTTCCGTCGGCCCGGGTCCTCATCCGAACCCGTCGACAAGAGTTCCGAGTTCTCTTTCGAACTGGGTTGTTTGTTTTCGTTCGAAGTGCTGCTATATTCGTGGATGAACCTGTGATCAAAATATGTTGCGAAACTCGAATTTTTCAGACACCTTTTTTGCTTAAAGTTTTTAAAGTTATTTTTCTTTCCCGCACAGAGTGCGTATACACTATACATGACATAAACGCATGTGACAAAGTACTTAACGTATGTAATGAAATCCTTGGATGTCAGTTTGGGGCCAACTTTCTTTTATTTGACAATCCTAGAATACCAAAATAAGATGCTAACTGCCATCCGCCAATATTATTGGCAAAACGGAAGTGAATGTCTTCTTCACTCCACCAATTTCAAGTACGATCAAAGGGTTTTTCCTCACGATCTTGACTTTCTAGGAAGAAAAAAAGATTAAAATGTAACTGGAATATTTCCTTTTAGAAAACCTTTACATCAGCTCAATTTACATTTTCATACCTGTTTTAAGTATTTTTGGCAAAAAAAGGAAAAATCTTGGTATAATGCAGTGAAGCAATAGCAATTATGTTGTGTTTTTTGTCCAAAATAAAAATGCATCCAATTATAATCACTGCAATATACAGGTTTCATCTATCTGCTGTATTTTTCAAAATGTTCGTGAATTTTACGAAGTAATTGAAAAAAAATCTTTGATAAACCGCGCCGATCTCTTTGAACCTCTTCTCAGAACAAATGCTGGCATCTTATTGGGGTGTGACTGTAGAAATGATTCTCAGAAAATGGACTGTAAATGCGGAAACCCTCATTCTTGTAATCAATCATTAAATTATTTCGGAGATAAATATATTTTTGACCTTAGGGAAGATTTTGGCTTCTCGGACACCCCAGTGAACCTGACTTTGCCCTTAGCCGTGCTGGAAACCGTGTCGTCATCATAATCATCAAAATCATCAGACCCAGTGTGATCATAAGCATTATTATTTTGATCTTGCTGGCCAAAGCCAACTTCCTGCTGCTTATTCTCGAGTTCCTCGTGGTAATTTGAAAATCCTTGTTCATCCGCAATATTAGTGTGGCCATGTTCATCCGCAAGCTGAGATCTTTGTTTGCCAGTTTCCGACAAGCATATCCATACGAAGATGGCGTTTGCGAATAACAAAAAAGTACCTGCAGGAATTTTTCGGGGAAACTTTGAATGAGTAATTTACAATGTTCATCGAACTGAATCCCAGATAAATAAATTATTGCCTTTCAATGAAAAATTCCGAGTTATTCTCAGGATTTCCAGATATGAATAAGTTTCAATGAATCATTTGACCAGAGAACGCGACAAATTTATCTTGGTATATTTACGGTGGAACAAACTCACTTGAATTTTGTTTGACATGGAAACGCTGATGCATTTCTTGCATTTCTATGGAAACGAAGAATGACTGCTCAAAGTTATTCTGACACAATAACATGACCCAGGAGATCGTATCTCTTTTATGCATAGAGGGTTTCTATCCCCTTTCTTGGAAACAAGTACGAATAAGTACTGTGCATACACTACCTTTGTATAATCTGGTGAGTTATGATCAGCATTATAATTCATCATCATAATTACATCATGAGGACAAGGAACACTTTCCTCAGAAAATACGCATAAGTTAACATGAACACATGCACAATGACTAGAATTTAAGACCTCCTCGGATTATTTCAGACACTGAGCTTCAAGGATAATTTATTCCTGTAGAGAGGTTTGAAAACTTTATTTTAAGAAAATTTTCAAATTGATGATCATTTTTATATACCTGTGTATTCATGTTAATTTACATCAATGGTTCAATTAATGACCAAAGTGGAATTTTCTGGAGGGCTTTTGGCTATTATTTTCTTGACACTGGAAAGAGAAAAGCAATAAAAAATGCACGTTAGTGCGTTTTGAAAGGCAATGAAATGCTAATTGCAAAAATAAACCCTTGTTTTCAACTTCAGTATCCTGTCAATGCACTCAGAAAGTACTGCAATGTAATGCCAAGAATATGCCAAATTACAATTTCCTGTAAATCTTTCTTTTCCAAAACAAAAATGCTTGCTTCTGTTACTAGAAACTTTGATAACTCAAAATGTTTGCTGGTTATGTGAAGATTGACTGAAAGAAGTTTGACTATGCAGCACTCTGCAATAGAATCTCATTTCAATAAACTTTGAAAAAGAATTTTGAAACCTTGGAAGACCTTTGTTTTAGACAAAAACTTTTGTGAAAAAGTTAAAATAAAATTGTGGCTATGGGTTAGGGACAAACAAATTGTTGTACGGAATATTTTTTTACAACAATGTTTGTTGCATTGAGATTCTACTGCATTTATTTCCTCACTCCCAGTGATGAGCAATGCCAAGCCTGTCCACTCCAGCTTTGGCACCAAACTCAAATGTCTGAGACCTGCTTTGGAATCTTCAGTAGGGTCAAAGATCCTGTCTTCTGGCAAGTGTCTGGCAACTTCTTCAGCTGAAATGTGACCAGCCAAGCTGCAAACCCCGCCAACGACCAATGAAATCACACCCAGGGTGAACATGACTGCTGCAGCANTGGAATCTTCAGTAGGGTCAAAGATCCTGTCTTCTGGCAAGTGTCTGGCAACTTCTTCAGCTGAAATGTGACCAGCCAAGCTGCAAACCCCGCCAACGACCAATGAAATCACACCCAGGGTGAACATGACTGCTGCAGCAAATGTGCCCACAAACAATCCGCAAACCTGGAATCAACAATGAAACAAATATTTTTGATCATGCTTTTTCCTGCTGATGAAGTTTCTGGATGATGGACTTTCCACTGAAATTGATCAAGTTCATCAAACATGTAATACTGTATATTCCTTATTTTGAGCATTAAAATAGCCAATCAATTTCAACACATTCAATTTTACTGTAAGTAAGCATTCAACCATTCTTAGGTTCCCAGTTATAATTTTAAATGCAGTAAAAGTTAATCCAAGACAAATATAATATTCTGTAATTTGAAAAAAAAACCTTTGTTCCACTGGGTTTGGTTGGTAAAATGGGAGGTTTTTGTCTGCCAAGCAGTGCTCTGTTCAGTCGTGAATGAAAATCTGTTGAAGGATCATAATCGAAAATGTCGATTTTTCCGTCAGCTTCACTGTATTGTCTGAAGGCAGGAAATTCGTCCACGTGCTCGGAGAATTTTACTGAAGTTTGTCCAGGATATGCCATGACGTGGAAACGGTTTTGTTTTATTCTCTAATTTTTGCTGACTAAGAGACTTAAAATGCTGCGACTTTCATCAAGTTTATGCCGAAGATTTATTTTTTTTAGGATGCGCGTGAAGCACCCCTAATTGTTGCTATTCTGTTCAAGCCAAACTCTTACGAATTACCGAAATATTTTTATACATATGTTTATGTTGAATTTTTTTTATGAAAACGATTCTTTTTGCCAATTCAAAAAATTTTAAAATACATGCGGGTGGCCAGGGATGAGCTTCCAGTTTCCTGAAGTAAATTGCATTTAACTTATTCAAAAAGTCGACCACCAGTATATTAACAGGCTTCAGGAAATCAAACGTTATGGCGATCTTGAAGAAACTTTTAAAATATACCGATTGATTTCTGAGTTGACGAGGAAACTAATTGTTACAGCTATAGCGATTCGAAAATAAATCTGCGAACACGGTTCGAACAGGTTTCGAGAAATACTGTAATACAGCCGATGCTTCGTGAATGATTTTCTACGGTTTTTAAAGAGCGACATCTGCAAAGATGGGAAACATTTTCTTTCAAATGTTTCTCGTCAAACTTTGAATGCGGAGGAGGAAACAAACGGTATGCGTAACCTACACCTAGGCAAAGAACATCTGCATAGGCAAGTATTGTTTCTTTTGCTCTCTTATAGATGTCGGTCACTACTCTCTTACCCAAATTCCATTGGAGGGCTCAGCGGGCTCGGATATTCTTAAAAGACGAATAATCTCGATTTTCTTAAATTCGCAGGATTTGGAAAGCTTTATTCTTGACC